GTAGTTCCTTTTTGGGGGGTTTCCTTATAGGATCCTAATTACAAATTCGGTTTAGGGTTTAGGGTTTAGGGTTTTCAAAACCCTAAGCCCTAAACCGAATTTATAATTAGGATCTTATAAGGAAACCATTTTAACCACAAAAAGGGAAGCACAATGGATCCTATGGGTCTCTCTGGAAATCTATCCCGGCAGCCCCCAAAGAACCCTGAGCCTGCGAGCGAACCGCAGCCCAGACAAAATCCGTATATAACCCTAGAGTCAACTACTGCAAATACGGGTTTAGGGGTTTGGGTTTAGGGTTTAGGGTTCAGGGTTCAGGGTTTGGGGTGTGTTCGCATCACGCCGGGCCAAGGCAGACATTGTCCCTATCATCAACAACCTTCGCGCTTTGGCTTCTGCATAGTCCCGTCATGGTGGGGAAGGGCGGTGCGGTGGCGCTGCTACTGCTGCTAATCCTCCTAGCGCTCAGAGCTTTTCATGATCAAGATATTGTTGGTGATAGTGATGATGGTGTTGGTAGCAGTATCTCTTCTTTTGTCTGTGCATTGCTGCAATTAGTGGTCATCCGAATGATGATCTTCATCCGAGTCCATAAACCAACTGGAACAGTTAGGGTCTGGGGTATGCTGTATTGTTAGAATGCTGGTATTGGCAAACTGTATCGCTAGTCATTGCGATCGTTATATGATAGCGAGACAACGTTGACCTCTCAGCCGACTACCCCGAAACCTCACAGCCGCAGGCGTAGACCGTGTCTTTGAGGTGAGAAGTTCGATGTTGTGGTTATCCTAAACCCCCTAAGCCCTAAACCCTAAACCGCGTCTCTGAGGTGACAAGTTCGATGTCGTGGTTATCTCTTACGACTGGCATCCCCACGACCACTGCTCCTTCGTGGAATCCGCTAGCGAGGGCAAAGTGGCGATCAAGGACTGCTGCAAGTACAAAGGTTTAGGGTTTAGGGCTTAGGGACTGGAGTGCTGAATGAATCGGGGGCACGACCAAGTCCTCAAGGCAAAACAGTGAATGCCCTCTCTGTGCACTAGGGTTTAGGGTTTAGGGTTGCATTAAGCCCTAACCCCTAAGTTGTAGGTTTGAATCGGATCCTTTGTCCTGGGACCTCGTGCTGTGCTTGAGATGTGCAGCCGGCCAAAGGTTGTCACTGCGCTGAAGGGGTTTATCTTGGAATTGGAATATAGGGGCCTTGTGACTTAGAGTGTGGCTGTGGGGGTGCATCATATCATAAGTACGGCATAGCAATAATAAGGCGCCCTGCGAACCCCTGACTGACAGTTCGTCCTGATCCTGAGCCTAAAGGTTAAGCTCTCTAGGCCGAAACCCAAAGCCCAAGCCAAAGCAGTAAACCCTAAACCCCCAAACACCCAAAACCCGCCCTGAACCCTAAACCCTAAACCCACCCCAATCCTAAGCCCTAAACACTAAACCCTGAAAACCTATCGCCAGCCCTCTAAGACTAGGGTTTTGCGTTACGTACTAAGTCCCTTGACCCTCCAAGTGTTGTGGCAAAAACTCCGCGGAGAGAATGCCAGCAGATTGGGGCATACTGTAGGGGGTTATTGGGTTTAGGGTAAAGGCTTGGCATGACTAGCAGTAGTCTTCCTAAATTATGAAGGGTTCCACAATACAGATTCTTAAGGCTTTCGCATGTACTATTGGGGCCTTAATAATTAAACTAAGAACACTTCTTTATTTGGAGGGTCAGGGGACTTAATAAGTAAGGTTTTAACCGCCTTAGCTGGGATTACAAGTAGTTATCAGTACCGTTGCCTGATGTATGACCCTAGTTACTCTGGGTCCTTGTTGGATACAATTGTGCATTTTCGTTATAATAAATCCCAGTAAGGATTTAAAATGACCATCTTTAATATAGCCCCAAACAGGGAACCAGTTACTACGGTTGATGATACAAATCCTGCATTGCCTTAAGGACCCGAAACTATGGGAATTCTGGTATATTCCTTAAAATGGGTAATG